CCATCGAAGGCCATTGCCACATTAGATGATGACAAGTTGGTTCTGGATGATTGATGGCAAAACTTTGTCATAAATGTTCATATTATATCTTTGGGCGATGGAGGCATCTCCGAGTGATGAAGTTCTGGTAGCATCCTCAGATGATCAACGGTGTAAACTGGCCGTGGCAGCACACCCTGCATCAGCCAGAGAAATGGTGTAGGACGAACTTGTCGTAATTTGCTAGCCAATGAATGCGTGACAGCTTGTAAATCATCATTTGATTGAACACCGTAAGATGATTGCAGCGATAAATGTGAACCGTGCTGGTGGTGAACGTGGATTAGCACTTGAATTTGACTGACACATACAGAAGAGCCATTTGGACATTGAAAGATATATCATTTTGATTTTTTCAAGTCCCTGTAACTGAACAATAGAAATTAAAATTCCCCTATCAGGCAGTGGTGCGGCTCATCCACACAGGACGAGACATCTTCAAGCGGTTGAAAGGATGGGCTCTCATTTCAACAGAACGATGCGATGGATAACTACAGGGAATGTTGGCTGATTCACAGCCAATGAAAACAAAATATATCTCGAAAGCAGTTATCATCAGAAAGGATGCATTTTTATATTTTGTTGTTCATATGCAAAGGATGGAATCAGTGTCCACCATCGTTTTAATCAATAAATCAGTCACAGCTATATTCTAATTATATGTGAGTTCAGAACAGCTGGAATTACCGGCGGCTCCTACAGGACTATGAACAGTTGAAATATAAGCATGTTCTTATCGTTGAAATAAAGTACGAATCTGTATTGTAAAATAGTGACTGGTCTTCGTTTTCTTTCAACAAATGGGTACATTCACTGAGCTACAGTTTTTGCCTTACGACAGAGGTAATGGTAGCATTTGTCATTGTACGGTAACTCGATCACTTGAATCTGGCTGAACCCACTTTCCCTGAGCATCTGTTCCGCTTTACGCCTGCCCCACATTGTGCCCAGTCCAAAACCACCCTTGAAGTAAAGCGACACTGGCATGCAGTGAAACAGACTGATTGCGTACATCATGGCAGCGTTAGGAGAACTCCTGTTCTTCACCAGTTCTGTCTCAGCCTTAATGTCGACCATTGAGAACCAACCGCCCGGTTTCAAGACTCGGTATATTTCGCTGAGTACCAAATCAGGTCTGGCTTGGTCATGCACAGCGTCGAAGGTCGTCACGAAGCTGAACCGCTCGTTCCAGTCTTTCGGAAGCTCGGTTGCCGAGTGCAGCAGATAATGAAGGTTCTGTAGATTGAACTTCGAAGCCCGCTGTTCCGCCATATCGATAGCCTTTTGCAGGAAATCGACGCCATGGAAGGTGCTCTTCGGATATTTCTGTGACATCAAGAAGCTTGGTGTCCCGGTGCCACATCCAACATCAAGCACCATAATACCGCTTTCTGAAAACAACAATCTTTAGTGGTGTTCGCTTATGGCTCAGCTTCAAACCTAAAGCTGGAACGAGTCCCGGAATTGATGGAATGAATTTGTCCAGCAGTGAATTTTCATGTATCTTGTCGCTTATGCCGGACATATATTCGCTGAAACAGCTGTATTCTTCATAAGGCAAGCCTAAATTGAACATTTGCATAACAAGTATAACAAATAACTGTGCTTAAATATGTACAGTGTCTAGTGATTCGACACATGTATGGGAGACATGTCAATCAACTGCTCATTGGAAAAACAGTTGTTCCAATCTTTTCTTGATCAATTATTCAAGGCAAATTGTTTTCTTTCTGTTAACTGCCTATGTACAAATACCAGTGCATTTCGACCTCGCAACGTTCTCCATCATCACGATAATATTCAAATGGTTTACATTTAAAGTTTATATTATAAAGCCAAGCTGATACATTTAGCAAAGCCTTCAAATCCGCACTGAGAAAGTCCAGTCGTTTAAATAGAGAAATACGTACAATTTGCTCGGTTGCGTGTTTTGTGTCTATGGCGTGGCGGAGCCTTTGTTGTTTATTAGTGTGTTCAATTAGTCTGTATTTGTTATTATTGTTTACTAGCCAGCGATGCGGCGGACAATTCTACATCGGCTATCAGCTGCAAGTATAAGCATGAAGTTAACTGGGAAACGGGGGAACAAAAAAACTATCGTAAAGTTCTTCTACGAGTCGATCTGCAATATTGCCAAAGCGCAGGTGATGAATGACACCACTGGCTGCTACTATCTTTTTGGTTCTGCATAGAATCTAATTGCTCGTGAATCGAGGTTCTGAAATGCAGTGGGGAGCTAGTCGTTTAGCTAAGAATGAACCAACCAAGACCGAGAGTTTTGATCAGGATTTGGTTCACGGTCACAAGACATTAGGATTAATTGCCTTCTTTGATTCGACTGTTTTGTTGTAAAATAATACATAGGGTCGTAGGTTCTTAATTTAACAGAATTAATATTTATCATACACCAATATTCGATTCTGACTAGTTGCATATGCTCGTTTAAACTTCTTCGACTAAGTTTAGACGTAAGAAAGCTCTCAGAACCTCAGCATGCTTCCCATTTTTCCTCGACGAAAGTATTGGGTACGAAAATGGTAGGAGACATCGCAAAATTTGCTCTCCTAGTTCATGCGGTATTTTCGCACATCAATTCTGACTCGCTTGTTTGAAAGACCGCATTTGAACAACTGTGGAATATGGTCTGAAAAAGATATGCGTTGACTGACATGCTGAAACAATGCTTATGCGCAGCACATTAGGAATATTGCCTCCTGAATGACTGAGGGGTTGCCCTAGCGAATGGATCTGGCACTGCGAATGCTCAAGTAACATGAAGTCCTGGACTGCTTAATTACCCTTAGGGCGGATAGGAAAAAGAAACAGTGCAATACGACACGAAATCGAATCTTGCAGGACTTGGGGCATATGTGCATACTCCTCTGGCATTCAAACACAACTTGGTGTTCATACAATTGCATACACGTAATAACAGCTTGAAGCGTTCTTCGTAATGAATGCCAGATGGCTTTAGTGAACAAAATGATGTGAGGTGCATCTAGCACCGTAGATAATCGAAACCCTGGAACCCAAGCCCGGTTAAATACCCCTTGGCGTAGTGGCACGTTGTTTAATGGATCTGCTTCGAAATCCGAAAGTGGTGGTTCGACTCCGCACGAGGGCAATTTTTGTCTTTTTCACGAATTTTAGTAAGCAAGGAATTTACCACACAGACGGAAGCTTCAGACGTGCCTCGTCGAGTCGTTAGAACGTCGAACTCAGAACCGAGAAGTGCCAGGTTCGAGCCTTAGTCAAGTCACTCATTTTTCTGCCTTACGAAGTCGATAGATGCTTGTCATTCTGTGGATATGAAACAGGAGACTACACGCAATGTTTGCCACATGACTGTAGGCTCTACCTTTAAAATATGTTCCTCCTGACTGGTGGTGCAGTAACGGAGATGAGCACCGCAATATAAGCTTCATGAACTGTAGGGCGCAACAGTTGCCCGATCATAAAACTGAAAGAAAAAAATTTTCAATGAACTTTCTCTTCCTTGTTTTTATATGCCCCAACGCCAAAAGCAAGTAGGGACAAACTGAATGCAGCCCGAAATCTAGTTGTTGAGGAATATTGGATTATTAAACCGAATCTGACGCATTTTTGCAAGAATTACCTTGAAGTAAAGTTATTATAACTAAATCAAATGAACTTATGCCATGTTAGATTAGCAGATGTTTACACAAATAAAAAGGCGTGCCATTAATTTCATTGATACAGCTTACGCTGCTTCATCGAAATTCGCTAAGCATATGAAGTTTATAGAGATAATCCTTAAAATCACAATTAAAGTATCACACTAAAAATTCATCAACGCAGTCTGTCTAGATTTGCTCCAAGAGCTCTATTACGTGTTGTTGCTAGAACCTTCCAAAGAGAGTTATTGTGAAACTCATTTTCTTTCTCCTCAAAATAAAGGTGCGACACATAATCAATTTTGCGGTGTACACGACCCCCTTTTTTAATGACAAAGAAAACGTGAAACGCATAAAGAGACCTTCTATCTAAACCTTTGTCTAAAGATCTGTTCCTATCAAATAATGTGAAACTGACTGCTGTTAAAATACAGAATTTCGTCATTTGGCGAATCCGGCAGTGGACGGGGGGGGGTCACTCACATGCTCTCGCCATTCATTCAACTGTAAGACCCGTACGAACCCACAAGATTAACCTGAAGTCGTTGTAAGCTGGTGCTGCCATCACTTCAATATAGTTGCCACAGATCGAGCAGGGACCACTTTAAAACCTAAATACTTTTTAACCAGCATTCTCTCTCACGGTGAACATTTATTTAACCTCACGAAAAAGAATTTTTCAGTTCATACTCTGTGCTGACTGATATCTTTATTCTGGAAATTATTAATTGCAGCCCTAAAGCGAACCGTCGGAAAACATTTCTGTAGGTTTCGCAAGGTCTGGCATGATTGCTCCAACGCACCATTTTCTCGGTTTAAACAAAATGACATTTTTACCGCTAACTTAACGAGGACAAGTCAGAGAAATAACTGTCAATGCAATCTAACATTCCAAATGATAGCCACGATCGTTTCTTGAAACGCTTTGGAATGGTGAGGTCAAGAAAGCGGTACAGTTTAATGGGAATGAACGAAGTTCTTGCGTGATAACTGAGTGTACAGTGTTAGTTACTGTAGGTATGGTACAAAATGGTTTCTCACCGTTCGGTCCATCAATGGGAAAGCAGCTGCACACCCCACGGAACGATGCCGCCAACATAGTCATCATCAGCGACATGCCAAGCGAATGTGCATGCAAAGCTGAAGACACCAGGATGCGTTTTCTGTGCTCTGGCAACCAGAACTTGTTTCCGGTTTCGTCCACCGTTACAAACTGGGCACACACGACGACCGACAGCCATTCGCGCACGTACCTGAATTCATAGTTTCGATTAGTACCGTCTATAGCAACCGTCAAACTTACGCTCACCTCTCCTTGTAGCCGAGCGTTGCGGCCAGTGCTGCCGCTGTGGTCGCCTGCTCAACGCACGTGGGCATGTTTTGGAACAGTTTCAGCCTCACTCCGAGAGCTATTGCCAACGAGGTAAAGCCCGAAGAAACGCAGTCGGAGCATCGCTGACCAAAGGCTTCCGCAGTTTCCTCACACATCTTCCACTGATCGCCCAGACTTTCTCGTAAATCCAGCAGAGATGTGGAATTTGAAATTCAAAGTAGCGAGGAATGTTGGCGACGACGAGTACTCTTTTGTGGCAGTTCAATTCGCAATGATAGGGGTCGCGCTTGACGGCCGCACAACGGCATGGATTCTGAACTATATTAATAAGCCGTCGAAGCTCTCGTAACAACAGCTGTTGCCATAGAGAGGTCAGTTCAGCTGTCAAACGTCAAGCAGGTTGATTACATTTGCAGCAACAATGCGCTTTGTCAGCTTTGTATAATCAACATCGTTCATTGTGGCCTTAATTGAACAAATGGGAGCACCTGGAAAGACCGCTGGCATTTAACGTTAGCAGGCGCTGCTGCCAGTTTTCTGAAAACCTCATTTTCCCCTAGAAAGCAAAGGTCATAAACACAAGTTATAGTTGGAACCAAGATGTCCAATAGAGTTCATGCGTCGTAGCATAGACAGAAGGTTGAAACTATGTCAAATTAATGAAATAGTAATCAGCAATGAAAATGATACAATGATATACGACTGGACTCCATACTTTGAATAATCCGGTCATTTCGAGTTACTGTAAACTGTCACTACGTATACAAAATCAATAAGTTTTCTTTAGATTCCAGATCTTTGCGAATATTAAAGTCATGAGGTGAAACCGATCACGGAACTGCCAAGGGGATTTTTCACTGTTTATCCCATGATTAAATGTAGCAATAGAGGGCTGCAACTCCGCCATGGCCGGTCCCAAGCCCGGATGAGAAAGGAGGAGGGTTGGAGACCGTGGCAAGTC